GTGTGAAAACTTTTTCTCTTTTTTCATGAGCGCATGCGCAGCGTAAATCATTGAAAACCGGGGGGGGGGAGGAAAGGGAAGGGGGGGGGGAGGCAAATGGCAATACCAAAATCTCGAGTATGTTCGAGTTTAATAATATCACAAATTATTTTAAAAAAAATACAGTAAAAATGAAAAGTTTGGCATATATTTCGGGTTGTTTTACTTTCAACTGTACGTGGGAAGCAAGCCGCCCACAGAGCCGAAATTAATCTGAAAAGGAAGCTTCAAGCATGACGTTCAATTTGAATATGGAAATTTTGTTTAATTAGAAATGCCAGATGTCCATTCGTCTATGTATATTATAAAAGCTTTGAGCTTCAACGTCGCTATTTTTGACAAAAAATTCATCTGAACCGTACGAAAAGGATAGATTTATTACACCAAATCACGCCGAATCGACTAAACTTTATAGCTACCCCATTGGGAAGGGTATATAGTTGTCTTCAATTTCTAAAGGTTTGTATTCAATATATTGTTTATGTTTATACGGGCGAAAAATGTATATATTTTAGCGACGATTTTGATAGTATATTCCCAAGGGACGCGTTTGCCTTTCTACTGGGAATTTACTACAAAGAATAGGATATTTTATTTCATGTTTAATTGTTTGTTGGGTTAAAAAACTTTGAATCACACATGCTAAAATACTTCACATAAATAGACTTGTACAATATCAAGTATATCAAGTGAATTGTAGTTTTAGTGGTTTAGAAAACGTTTTAAATATATTGACCAAAACCCCAAAGATTCTATATTTTGTCCACGATACATTCTTGTTTTATATGGGATGGTATTTCTTAAATGTATTTCAAAAATGGTGCATTTATATGTTGGGTTTCTCATAGTGGTCAATATCAGAAACGTAAACACTTTATATTAAAAGGGGAAAATTTTAAAAACTACTTCTCCATTTTATTTATTTGCTATCAAATTCATTATTACTACTCTCTGACAATGACAATGATATTGCCAGTTGATTCGTACTGCCTAAAACACTGTGTAAATCAATCGCACAACTCGCTTACGTTGTCGTGGATGAGTTAATTGTGTGTTATGTTGTCGTAGGCACAGAGTAGATACATACAGAGCTGTAACTTGCCCTCGCAAACACTGAGGAAATTTACGTTTTCATGTACCCACTTTTTTCAGGTGACCGGGCAAGTTCCTCAAGCAGTTAAAATGAACTGCCATCCGATGGGATGCATGCATCTAGTAACTTGCCGAGCACACGCACAAAAAAAGTGGGTACACTAGTTATAACTCTGTATATGTATCTACTCTGTGTCGTAGGTGAGTTGTGTGCTAGATTTACACAGTACAGCTCAAGTTGTAAGCAGGTTGCATGCGACAGTTTTAGGCAAAAGTTATGTTAATTGACTAGCATAATAAAACAATTTTTGTGGTTTTCCACAGGCAAAGTGGAGCCATGAAGGCAATTATCGCAGCTCTGTTTGCGATCGTCTTAACCAGTCCACTAAACCATGCCAAAGTTGAATTCAAACACCATAACTATGAAGCTATGGTGAAAGTACTCAAGCAGTATGCAGAATCTTGCAAAAACATATCAAGAATGCACAGCATTGGTAAATCAGTAAAGGGACGAGAACTGTTGGTTTTCGAGATCTCGGACAACCCTGGAAAACATGAGTTGATGGAACCCGAATTCAAGTATGTTGGAAATATGCATGGTAACGAAGTGGTTGGCCGAGAATTATTGCTACACTTAATTGGTTTGTTGTGTGATAATTATGGCAAGGATCCATCGATAACGAAGCTTGTTGATACCACACGGATACACATACTGCCTTCCATGAATCCGGACGGTTACGAGAGGTCGGCAGAAGGTGATTGTGAAAGTATTAATGGTCGACGTAATGCTGATAATGTTGATTTGAATCGGTAAGTGTTTAACGAGAACTAGGTAGTCTGTTTAGCTAGAACAACATTGTTGATCCACTAGCATCAATTGCAGTCACTTGATAATGCACCCTACTTTATTATTTTTCTCTGCCTAACACCAGACAAGCTTACTTGTCAAGGGAAAGCCCTGCATCCTGTTAACCCTTTAAGTGGCAAAGCACCCTGATGTGCCCTACTTTATTATTTTACTCTGTCTAATGACAGACAATTCTACTCGTCAAGGGGAGAGTGTTGCCACGCAATGGGTTAAAATGCAAAGTGTTTCCTTCGACAAGTAAAATAATCTGATGTCAAGCGCCATGTATATATTAAACCATTAGAACTTAAAATATCAAACCTAAAACTGTCCTTTCATTTCAGAAATTTCCCAGATCACTATCGCAAAACTAAGCAACCTCCAGAGACTGAAACCAAATTACTGATGAAATGGATTGAATCCAATCCATTTGTACTATCTGCTAACCTTCACGGTGGTTCACTGGTCGCCAACTATCCGCTTGATGACTATCCTATTGGCTCTCACAACAGTGATACGCCTGATAATGATGTTTTCAAGGAAATTGCTTTGACATACTCCATGAATCACGCCACCATGCATCTTGGACGAGCATGTTCTGGTTACCCTAATGAAAAATTTAATCTTGGTAAGATTTCTGGAAGTGATTGGTTAATGGTCATCATCACTATCATCATCATCACCATCACAATCATCATCACCACCATCATCATCACAATCACCTTATCGCCATTGTCATCAGAATCACCATCATCATCATCACTACCATCACCATCACAGCCATCATCACTACCACCATCATCATCACAATCACCTTATCACCATTGTCATCAGAATCACCACCATCATCACTATTACCATCACCAAAATCACGGCACACCACCTGCCACCAGAACCTCCCACAATGTATTTTTTATTTTTGCAGGAATCACAAACGGTGCTCATTGGTACAGTGTAGAAGGGGGCATGCAGGACTACAACTATTTCCACAGCAACTGTTTTGAAATTACCCTAGAACTAAGCTGCTGTAAATTCCCTTACGCTAGGGAACTGGAAAAATATTGGAACGACAATAAAAAGGCTCTTCTGGCTTTTATCAGGAAGGTTGGTCAGATTTATACCGTCAACTTGGGCAAAGAAACACACTGACATTCTGCAAGACATTTGCGCAGTTTGTTGTGAAAGATGTTTCGTGTATGTTAGGGTTGCTCAGGAATGCTTAGCAGTTAGCAACTAATTTTGTAATTAAGGCTCAGCAACTGGCCTCTGTAGCCTGCGCTCCTTCGCCAACTGGTTCCGCTTGTGTTCCAAGATTCGCCATGTAAAGTGTAGTGAAATGTATCTCAATTTATTTATTTATTAACTTTACAACCATACATAAAATAGACTAAAAAAACTACATAATATGGTTGAAGGTATGGTCAACAGGACATGAATAGCCCCATATGAAGACCAACCTTAATGAAAACAAACTATAACAAACATAAATCAAAGACGAG